GGCACACCAATGTAAAAATTGCTCTGTAACAACATGTTGCAGGTAATCATAAATCCAGTTGTGCCTGCTTTTTTGTTTTAGTACTACAAATTCTGTTGCATTCAGTCCACAAATGCAAAAACAATGGTCAAGACAACTGGTAACCTCTATCTCTCACTGGTGAGATTGTTAGTGAGTCTTTCAAAATTAAAAACACATTTCCCATAAAAAAATAGAGGGAAAATATGTTGGAAATGTTTTTTTGTTTCCATTGGCTTTACTTTCCCAGAAAAACTGGGAGAAGTAAAAGTTTTAGTTCCACTTGTGCTGCAGAACAGATCCATCTTCCAGTTTTGTACCGTAAATCCAACTAACACATTTCCTATATAATCTAACCAAGATGTGCACATTGTAAAGAGTAGAGGCCAGTCCAGTAGATACAGTTTAACAGTGTTTTTTTTTACAATTATACTATAATGGTGGTGGTACTATGTTGAACAGGAAGTCTGTCGAACGTGATAAAATAAAGCTAAACTTGATGGTCATCAGCATGCTAACATAACTTTGACAATCCTAACATGTATTCCTTTAAAGTCCCCTCACTCACAATATGTTTGATCTTCACTGTGCAAATGATGTATGTGCAGAGTCTGTCACTAGAAGGATATTTTTCACATTCATCTGCTGAAAGTGGAAAGTTTCTCTGTGCTCAATGAAAATCAGATTTTAAGGGGCGGGGCCTAAGAGCATGATTTTTGACATCACAAATAGTTTGGAAGTCAATCTTGGTCCAATTTGCAAATTGCAAAACTGTGATGTGGAAATTTGAAGCCACCAGTGCACATTCACTGAGAATGGAGTTCAGAGTAAAGTAGGAGACATCTTACTAAGGGAAAACGTTGTACTAAATGTACATGGTCATGGATTATGGAATTCTTTAATTAGGTAGAAGGAGCAGAAACCCTTTTAAGGATTTTAATGTGGAAATTATACTTTTTTGTGGAAAAAAACCCCCAAAACATATCAGTTACTCCTTATTGTTCCAAGCAGATTATATGCATAAATGTCTTGGGTGGGATCTTTAAGAATTTCTCTGTCTGTGTAGACAGAGAAACACTGGCATTTTGACCGTTATATGTACAGACAAGGAGCTGTCATGAAACCATTAAATTACTAAATACACTATTTCTGACTACTTAGAGCAGGAAATGAATTAACAGAGAACTGTTTGGCAGACATTAAAAATCTCAACTACAGCATATACAAATAAAGAAATGATCTACACTTTCCCTCTTTCTGTCATGAACAGTGTGAAGGACTGTTACTGGAGTGTAATGTTATGCTGCTGATATTTTTATCCTCAAGGGACATTTTCAACAGACTAGATTACAGAGTGGTGTTTGTGTGTGCTCAGGGTCACACACACACACAGACCCTTTATTTTTTCCGTAACCCATCAGCTATTAATGTGCCCTCCAGCTGACCCAATGAAAGCACAAAACATGTAACAATGGCAACTGATTTCCTGACACTGTAAACTCCTCAGTGTGTCTACGTTTGAGTGTGTGTGTTTGTGTACGAGAGAGACTAAAAAAGGGTCTCTGACTGTGCTAAAGAGTGAAACACTGTATGTGTTTGTGAGCTGCTAAGCCCAAAGTCACACACCTGTTGCCAAACACACTTATCTTATCTCTGGTGCCACTTCTCTTTATAGAGCTGCATGTGAGATATCCTCATGAGAAACATTTCAACACTTAACTGCACCTCCATAGAGGCAGAGGGTAATTAAAGGCCCATAAAAATGATGTATTTCCTGTTCAAATAGGATGTTGTTGAATCTGGGGTCATAACAGTCACTGATCGATAGAAAATCCAGACTAGCTCGATCAAATGCTGGTGAAACACAAGCAATACGAAAGACAAATGAATAAGCGGCATGTACATCAAAACTCTAGAGTGAGCAACTTATTTTTGTCCTTCATCAGGCTTCCTTGTTATTTAGGATTAGTGATATATAGATAACTGAAATCATATGATCACAAGCTCCACATACATTATCGTGTAGTGAGGATTTCAAACAACCAAATAGTTAAAGAACCTATTATTTATTTTTTTTTTTTTAGAATTTGTATAAAAATATCTACAGTCTCCAAACACAGATTAAATACATGTGTAATAGATGAGATTAGGTCAACTAGGGAGGGTGTTATAGTATATATAAAATGAAAAAGAAGACATGCATTTCAAGTGGCAGATCATTTTAAACTGTAGTTAAAATGATGAGGTTTTAAATGGGACTTTAAAGCCCTAATGTGTGATCACATCAATTATCAGAAGATGGCAAAATCTTCTTTTTTTTTTCTTTTTTTAAAAAAAAAAAGGCACAGTAAGACATAGACAGTGAAAACACAGAGGAAAGACTGGACAGGAAAGAAAGAAAAGACTGGAAAATGAGAATTCTATAAATGTAGGAAAATGTAAGAAATAAGATAAAAAAAAAAAAAAGGATGACAGAAGTGATGCATAGCTTATGCTGCTCCAACGTGTATTAAAGCATTGTGTGTGTTTGTCATGTCACCTGTTGGACTAAATTCAAAGTGTGTTGATGAAGCTGAAATCAAGCTTGAAAAGTTGAAATTGAAAAGCAGTTTTTAAGTTTACAGCTATCACACAGCTTTTCAAAGAAAATAGTGCCTTATAGTGCTTTGAAATGTGTTCTCTGAGATGGTTCGTCATTCTCCTTCACCTTTTCAAATGTTTAATACCAAGTTTCTACAGAGACAGTACAAGGTTGACTAATTCTGATGAAGTCAACACAAAGCAGACAGAGCTCACTGCTTTTATTTGCGTAGAAACATTTCTTTCGAGGTCAAACAGAGCTTCGCTTCACAAAGAGCAAAATGGGGGATGAGTGATGAGTTAGGAGGCAGAGAATCACAGTGCGGCTTACATAATCGTTCCTTTTATGTATTTACTGACTGTGGTTTGGAGTCTTAGAGAGAGGAGAGTTGGCAAAGTGAGTGTTGGATGAATGAATCTCTCAACTTCAATAGAGGTGTATATTGTTTTTGATGTAGCCCACTATGACAGACTGAACTGGGAAAGCCCACACAAGGCCAAAATGATACTCTCAGATTCAATTACCAATCAATGTAAAAGCATTTTGAGACAATATGTCTTATTTGAGTATTTGTGCTGTTTCAGACAAAGAGTGCAGGAGGAGAGGAGGCGGACATTGTGTCTACACGGATGATGTTCGGTGCTCAGACGCAGTCAAAGATGGATATCATTAATTTGTTGCTGCTGTTGTTGAGATGCAAATTAAAAAAATGCAGTGCAGAATTATTTCCTGGGTGTAGGAATATGTACATGTTTATGTAAAAAAAAAAACGGTATATATATTGTTTTCTTTTTATTGGTTTTCTGTGTTATTCTAGAAATAACATTAAGGCAAACTGCAAACTTTCATTTTGTTACACAACCTTGCAACTTTCCTGAAGCTACACATGCTGATTCTTTATACATTTCAAATTACATTTGAATTCGTTATATCAAATGTGCATGTGTGTAACCATCCACAGCAAAGGGTTTGAGGGATTACAATTTCCTTTTCCAAGACTTTCCTTCTTTTTTTTTTTATGCATACATGCAAACGTTTAGGGCTTGCCTTCTAATGTAGCTTTCACACCTGTAGTTTAGTTCCCCTAATTCAGACCAAAAAAGCTACAGATTTGCTTTTACCTTTAGTTCTAGTCCATGTTGGTTCACTCTGATGTCTTACAAGTGATGCAAGATTTGTACACAAAATGAACATGTGCAGACAGGAAACTCGTTTTCTGACTTTTTTGGAGACTTGTCATCCTACATCACCAGCGCAACAACGGTTAATGGTAAGGACCGACAGCAAGTCATGTAGCACTTTACTGCTTTCTATCTTCTATATCTGGTCACAGAGAGCTTGCAAAGTATCATTAGTTAAAGACTACAACTGGACCTTGTAGGTCATAACTCAGAGAAAGACAGCTATACAAAGGATGGAAACAAGGTGTCTTCTACCACAATATAATTGGGTAAATAAACACTAAGGTCTTCTTCAGTTTTACTCACTGCAAAAATACATGAATGGAAAACCCTTTTAACCCGGTTTACTTCCTGAACACTAGGGAAAATACCTGCACCAAAACCTTACGCTGTTCTGTGTTACCATGGCTCCCAAATGCAGATTCTTAACAACAACATTATAGATTGCTTCCTTGACAGCTGTGTGTGATATTGGGCAACACAAATACATTGAACTTAAAGAAATATATAGCTAAAAGCCACATTAAAATTTCCACTGTGGCTGCGAGATGAAACCTGTAACCTGGTTATTGGGATCGTTGTCATGCTGCCAAAAAGATAATCTGTTTGTTTAAACCATAAAATAAATATAATCATCAGGAGAACAAGCTGTGATGTTTGGCTCATGTGTCTAAACAATGGCGACAGTGTGTTTAGGCACTGATTAACAGTGCTTCGGGTACATTTTAGATTCTGATTAATAGTGTTGTTGTGAATGGAATAAATGGGATGATGCCTTTTGGCTTCAGCAAACGGGACACTATCAAACAAAAGGAAAGTGAGCGTGCACAATGGTGTTAACACCTGCATGTTTTGTTTTCTATGTAAGCGCACACACGGGCCAGGGTATGGTGTCAGCATTAACCGGCATCAATACACATCAACTCCA